TGGGGTCAGGTTGCTCTGATTCATCCTTTTGTGGACAATTGTTTATCTGTGGTGAGATCTGGAGTTAGAGCAAGTAGAATCTGGAATATAGCAAGTAGAATAGTAATTGGAGGAAAATTGCTGATTCATGAGGCAATTCTCAAATAAGTTAAATATGCCCATCAGCATCAGCAACAAAGGGAAAATGGGGGTACCATAGAAATAGAGGGAGCATTAGAAGAAGAGGGTCTATTAGCATTGAAGACAAGTCCAGAAAGGGATGTTTGGTTCACATCAGGTGAAGGAAGGATAGAGACAGGAGGAGAAAGCTTTTAGACTGAATGTTTAGAAAAAATTACTACCGAGATGAGGAAAGGTCCTTCTGGGAGAACAAGGAGGGAGTGCCCCAGGGGTGCTGCTGCTTTCTCTGCCTGTGAGGGAGGATGCCCTTTGCTGGCTGCCTGCCAGCTGGGTTTGGATCACCTGTGGAAGTGGATTAAGTTAAAACTGTTTAAATATGCTCCCAAAAAGGTCAAAAAGCATCTGCACTGGGGTTGGACTGTGATGGTTGTCCCGTACAGTGTCTCCACATTGATGGTTTGAACTCTGCAGCATCTTTCTCCATCCTGGAGAAAAGGGCTCTGACCTTATTAACTACTACCCAAACTGACATTTGGGTGGGTGTTTTAGGGCCAGGATTCATCCAGAGAATTTTCCAGGCAGCTTGGGAAAGCCAATTGATGTTTTAAAATAGAAGTAAGCTTTCCTGACTTGGCTAAAGTCCTTGGAAATACATTTCTTTTTTACTCCTCAGATGCAGCACTTCTTTCCCGTGACATTACCAGAGCAGCTACACCTCCTGCCAAACTTTTTTTTGGCTGGTTTTGAGGGCAAAATTGCATTTTGGTCTGAGGATGCTTTTTGGCTTTTCCAAAAACAACTGTTACAAGCTGGTCATGGTTGGGTGGGTGAGTTCAAGGTACATTAAGAGCTAATGATGATTTTTTTAATAGAGAGGAAGATGCATCCTCTGGTTCAAAAGATCCCTGTGCCACCAAACCTTCCCTCTTGCCATGATCTTTATTCTCCTTTAGGCATCAGCCACCTGGGTTGTCTCAGAGGCAGAACCCAGAGGCCTCGTGGCGTTGCATCCATTTAGGAATGGGAATCTCCACACCTTGAGGTGACACTTCGGTGTCTGAGCTGATGAGACCTGCAGACATTTATTCTTTCCTGGTGAGAATAAAGATGCACCTCATTAATGGGTGGTTGCTGCCTGCAAAGCTGCTCCTGTGCCTGTGCCTGGGCTCTGGGAGGGTTGCCCTGCTGAGGTTGTGTTTATACAATATGCTGGGGCTGTGGTTAACCACCAGCACACCACCATCTGTGGCACAGAAAACATGATTCACAGGAGGAAACAGTAGGAACTTACCTTTGAGGGGGTAAGGTTAAGGAGTAACAGCAGGTCAGGTGGCTCCTCTGAAAACTGTCTCATGATGGAAGGGCATGGAGTTGAAACTTCCAGGGACTCTTACTCGGTTTACTGAATTTTAACCAATTTATATTATAATGTCTCTTTTTTGGACCATGTTTTTTTCTTTGATTGCTGCAAAAAAATGTTTCTTTCCTTCTTATTATAACTGTACCAGTCTTCAGGCTGCATTGCCCATACTGCTAAGAATACAGTGGTGTGCACATATCTGTATATATCTCATAATTTATATATGCATGGTATTTCACTGGGTTTAATATTAATCTAGAATTTAACGTACCACTCTAATATTTTTTTCTCTGGAAAATTCAAAACTTGACTCGTTTCTACTCTTTCAAAACTTTACTCGTTTCTACTCTTCATCTTTTTTCTTTTAATCATCTTTTATTCTTGCCTTATTAAAACCGAAAAAGGTAAATAAAACCAGGCCAACGTTTTACAGAGAAGATTCAATCTGCTGTTGGAGTCACAGGGTCAATCAGCTAAATGGGTATTAGTAACATAATGACAGAACATAAGCCAGGCAACGTAGTAGGATTTGAAAATCCATAACAGTAATTCTCCTTTTCTATTTGTTGTCTAATTGATGGCTTAGAGTTTGGAAATGGGAACTCCTGCTCTGGGTCTGTGACAGCTCCCTGGCCATAAAATATTGTGGCCCTTCTGGAGAGCCAGAGGTTTATTTTAAGCATGAAAAGCCCCTCTCTCCACACACACACCACCAAGGCAAGCCTGGGGAGAAACTGGGAAAGCTAAACCCTCACTGCAGCAGCACTGTAAAAATAAAATGACAAAAAAACCCTAAAAAATAATCAAGACCACGGAAAAAAAAAGGAAAAAAAAAAGGGAAAAAAAGAAAGGGAAAAAAAACAACCAGGGAGAGGATTTGTCTGTAAATAACATGTTCAGCAACTCAAGTGATGGAAGCAGAGGAACAATATCTTGCTTTGTCTTGCTGATGGGCTGACAAGGAGAGGTTGGTGAGAGGTATCAGAGGGGAAAAGGTTTTCCATAGTCTGACAGTAAGGGCAGCAGTAAAAGTTCTTCCCTTGTCCTGTACCCTTTTTGGGTTTCCACCCTCCTTTCCTGCCAACCTCGACAATTTGGGCGAGGACACCGCTAATACACTTTGCTGTGAAAACCTCCCTCTGAAAAGCAGCATTTTCCCATAAAAACGGTGACCCAGCCACTGCTGAACCCACTGCCTTGCCAGAGACATCATCTTTGAGAGCTCCAAGCTGGCCCCTGCTCCTCTGAAACACTTGCATGTAGGAAAAGAGAAATGTTTCCCACTGCACTTGACATTTTCTTATTATCTGTGTGTGCTTAATCCCTTCTTGTGTCCTGCTGAGCTTATGAGAAAGCAATTTAGGGGCTTTATTCCAAGGAAAATCTGGAGTTAGCAGCTATTACTAGTACTTACACCAGGGCACATGTTACTTTCCATGATTGGGAAAGGAAAATGGGAATAAAACCACTGACTTTAACTGTGCAGTATTTGGGGTTGTAAGTCCAGTTTAGGCACTTCAGTTGTGCCTCTGCTTTTGGGTCTTCCTTGTCACAGCTGCTTGAGCCTCTTTACAAAGTGGGGACTCTTTGCAGATGCCCAAAAGCACTTTGGTCATTTGTGGTTTGGGTCGTCCCCTGACGTGTGACACCTCAGTGCAAAGACAACACCAACCCTCCACTGGACTCAGTGGCACAACTGGAGCTTTGCCCCAGAAAAGTTAAGAAAACTGCATTTCTTTTAATTGATATTTTAAATCTGTTTCCCCGGGGGACTCTAGACCTACTTACCTCCCTCTGCCTCAGGCCAGATTGCTTTTCCTGAACTCTGTGGCAGACAGTCTTGATCTCTTGGTGCTGTTCAGATAATTACACTCATTAACAGGCCTAAAGGAGGTGTCAGATTAATTTTGGTGGAATAACAAGGCTTTGTCACAGGATTTACCACGGCCTTATCGCTGTGAAACATGAAAGAGTTCCACGAGGGTCGGTGGTGTGAGCAGAGAGACCCCAGAGCTGACCTGCTCAACTTGGCAGAACTCAGGGGGAAGTTCGTGCCACTCATGGAAATGGGAACTTCCAAAGTAGAGAGGGCTGTGGTTTGACTGATTTGGATCACAGACCTTGACTACCTTCTTCATAGAACCACAAGAATGGTTTGGGTTGGAAGGGACCTTAAAGACCATCCAATTCCACCCCCTGCCATGGGCAGGGACACCTTCCACTAGCCTAGGTTGCTCCAACCCCTGTCCAACCTGGCCTTGGACACTTCCAGGGATCCAGGGGCAGCCACAACTTCTCTGGGAAACCTGTGCCAGGGCCTGACCACCCTCACAGGGAAGAATTTCCTCCTCATATCTGGTGTGTTTTGAGGTGCAAAATTCACTTCCCAAAGCCGAGGTGCAAGTTTGACCCTCGCTGTGGCTGGAGGTAGGAAAAGCATGGGAATGCTGGGGATTCTGAGGGACTGATGGAATGCCCTGGGCTGGCTCAGCTGCACACAGAAAAGCTTTGTTACCTTCCCAGAATTGTGCTCTGGCCTGGCTTTAGGGAGCAGGGGGTGAGAGGAAAAGAGATTGGAAGGTGTCAAACCTGGTTTATATTTGTCACGTCCAACAGTAAAAGGTTTTGTACCTTTAGTGCAGCAGGTTTTGTTCCACATAAAAAATCTGATGCCTAATTTGTGAAGAATAATTTTTTGACAAACCTGTAGCCCCACACTTTTAAATTGTTTTCTTGGACCTTTTATTATTCTACCTATTCAATCAGAAAAGATGCTTAGAATGTCAACCCCAGCTCCAGAATCCTTTGGTTATTCAGAGGAGAAAAGCCTTGTCTGTCTACAGGTCGGAATGTACTTACATGTTGTTCTCTATCAAATCTCATAGTCCCTTTTAAAGTTCATAGATGAGCATTAATACAGGTCACTGAAATGTAAACATTAATGAACAGAGAGCATTTTCCTACTTTTTCAGTACTTTGGAGAAAAAAAATAAATTAGAGATTAAGAAAACTTAAGAAAATATATATTTTAAAAGGAGGCAAGGAAACCAGTGGCAGTTTAATCCAGTAGGATCTCACTTTGTCCAGGTTGCTTTGTAGGAATTCAGTGAGTTTTCTTCTTCAGAGTTTTGTAAGAACTCCTCTTACATTTTTAGCTCTATTGTATGAACTATTGCATAAACTTATTTTACAAGACTGTTACCTCCTCAAAGCATTGTAAGAGAAAAGCAAAAATGCAATCCTGCTGTAGACAAAAGAGGAGGAGGAGGATGGAAAGATGAGATGAAGGAGGAGGAAAGTTCCCAGGAAAGAAATGACAGGATGAGAGAAAAATAGCATCAAGTTGAGCCAGGGGAGTTTAAGGTTGAATATCAGCAAAACTTTCTTCACCTAAAAGGTTGTCCAGTCCTGGCACAGCTGCCCAGGGCAGTTGTGGAGTACCCATCCCCGGAGGGATTTAACAGACATGTAGATGTGGCACTTGAGGACATGGGTTAGTGGTGGCCTTGGCAGTGCTGGGGAAATGGTTGGACTTGTTGATCTTGGAGGTCTTTCCCAACCTTAAGGATTCTGTGACTCTGTGATTCTCTAAACCTGCTCTCCTTCAGCTTGAGGCCATTGCCCCTTATCCTGTCACTCCATGTGCTTGTCCAGAGTCCCTCTCCAGCTTTCTTGGAACTTCTTTAGATACTGGAAAGGGCTCTAAGGTGTCCACAGACTCTTTTTTCTCCTCCAGACTGAACAAGCCCAGCCTGTCTCTGCAGCAGAGAGGCTCCATCCCTCTGAGAATCTCCGTGGCCTCCTCTGACTCGCTCCAACAGGTCCACGTCCTTCTTGCACTGGAGGCCTCAGAGCTGGATGAAGCAAAACTGGGGTGTCATGAGAGCAGAGCCTTTTTTTCATGTGTTCGTTTCATGCGCGTGCCAGAGGAGCTCTGGGCTGCAGACTCTGGTGGCCCCCACTGTTTGCACCCCAGGGTTCCATGCAAACCACTTTTGGATCTGCACAGGGCCATGAAACACCCCACCAGTTCAGTTTTAGCAAAGCCTCTAGGACACGAAACAGGTAATTTTTTTTGGCGGTGCCCTTCGTAAAACATTTTGCGGTTGGAACAAAATGGAGATGTAAAAAGCTTTGAGACAATTAAAATATGTGATTTCTGGCTCACATCAGAGAGAAAAATCAAGTATAACATCTTGCAAAAGGACTTCCTATAAAACCAGAAAGATTTGGTTTGATGCAAAACAACTGGATGTTGTTCAAAATGACCTCTAGAGCAGAGATTGGTTCAAATTCAGTTGGGAAGCTGCTTTGCAAGGAGAGGAACAGGCTCCCTGAATCCATAACATTTCAACCTGAACTCGTTTGCTCCTCAGCAGAGATTTAAGCAAAATGCTTATGGATAGGCAGAAGGAGGGCACAGATGTGATTTGGGGGAGTCTACACAGAACACTCCTGGTCAGAAGGCAGTGATCAAATTTCCATGAAATCTACAGCTCTAGGGATTGTGAACTTGTGTTTTCAGATGGGAAGACAGGTACAATTCTTTAAGAAGGGGGAAGGTGGAAATGGCCCCATCCTGCTGCTCTGAAATAGTGGTTGGTGGGCCTGTGGGTTACTGGGGTGAGTAACTGATGCATTAAACTCTTCACACCAGGTTAATTTATGGAGATGTGCAATATTTTTGTCACCGTGACCTTTTTGGGTTTGCTTTGATAACTTTTCTCTCTCTGAAAATTTAGGTTCGTAACCTGATGTGCAGCACATGAATCTGTTTACAAGGATAAATGAGTGAACACTGTTATTGTTTGGATCTCTTTCATGTAAAAGGAGAGGAGGACAGAACAGCCCCCTTCTCACCTCAGCATGCCCTAGTGAGTCACTTAAACTCTGCACAAGCTGAACCATCCAAACAATGTGACCCACTGCTGGTTTTTTTCTTTCCTTTTTCTGAGCAGCTGACCCAGCTTCAAAGATGTGATTCATGGCACCTCCAGCACAAAGATCAGGAGTAGTTTCTGGGTTGATGCAAGAGCCCCACAGGACACAAGGAAGATGAGGATGGGAGGAGCCTGGTTGGGTCTGCCCCTGGGACACCTGCTGGCTCTGGGACACAGGCACAAATGGAGAACCATGGTATTTAAAAAAACCCTCTTGTTGTTATTCTCTGTCACCTGACATGGACACATATCTGCTGCTTCTCCACTCGGGCTCGGTGGGTCTAAATCATGGTTTGTGAGACGCCGAAAATGGGGAGGAGGTTTGAAGCATCAGCCAAGGTAACCTGGATGTGCTTGTGTGGATTTCTGAGGATACAGTGGCTTAGGGGGAAGACCAAAGTAAACAGGAGTGTGAATTTGATGGCCAGCAGAACATCTTGTGGGGATGGCATGAGGAGAAATGAGTGTGGTTGACTGCCCTGAAACAGGCAGCTTCCAATTAGAGATGCCCTGGCTTTGAATCCCTATGCAGGGGGTTTGGTGCACAGCACTGAAAGGAGACAGTTATTACTGAAAGGAACTAGATATTGTTTTTATTAATGTGCTGTTCTTTCCTGCTTCTTTCAGATGGACTTCAGAAAGTTCAGGCTGTTTTTTTGCCTCCTCGGGCTCAGCTGTGGCAGCTTCTGGTTTTTTTACAACTGGACCGAGTTCTGCGTGTTCTGTGAGAACAGCCAAGGTTACCTGTTCCCCACAGAGCCTTTCAGGAGGATAGAAGGAAACTTCTCCCAGCTCCCAGACATAGACTGCCACAAGAACCCTCCTTTCCTCGTCCTGCTTGTGGCATCCTCGTGCCAGCACCTGGATGCCAGGATGGCCATCCGGCAGACGTGGGGCAAGGAGAGGACGGTCGCCGGGAAGCGCCTGGTGACGTATTTCCTCCTGGGAAGTACTGTGGATCCCAGCCAGCAGGCTGACATCGCTGCTGAGGGCCAAAAGTACAGGGACATCATCCAAAAGAACTTCACAGACACTTATTACAACCTGACTTTGAAGACCATGATGGGAATGGAGTGGGTTCACAGGTTTTGTTCCCAGTCCAGCTTCGTGATGAAAACCGACACAGACGTGTTTGTCAACGTTTTTTACCTCACTGAGCTGCTTCTAAGGAAGGAGAAGGCCACTGGGTTCTTCACAGGCTTTTTAAAACTGCATGAGTACCCCATAAGAAGAAGAGGGAGCAAGTGGTATGTGAGTAGGGAAGAGTATCCAGGAAAGACCTACCCACCCTTCTGTTCCGGGACTGGATATGTTTTATCCAGTGATGTTGCCACTCAGATCTATCATGTTTCTGAGAGCGTTTCCTTCATTAAGCTGGAGGATGTGTTCATAGGACTGTGCCTTGCCAAACTAAAAATTAGGCTGGAGGAGCTCCATTCAGAGCAGACATTTTTTCCAGAAAGGATCAGGTTCTCCGTTTCCCGCTTTAAGAAAATCGTGATGTGCCACGAAGTGGAACCACCCGAGCAGCTGAGCTACTGGAACCACTTGGTGACAGAAAACCGTGGAGAGGTGCTCTAGCACCTTCCCTGCCAGAATTAACACACTGAAATCCTTTGCTTTTACAGGGCTGCTCTTGACCCCAGCAAAACTCCCAATTAACTCCAGGTCCAGCACGCTAGAGACTTTTTAAATGGTTATTTTAATCATAGAGTTATTAAGGTTGGAAGAGACCTCCAAGATCATCAAGTCCCCCCTTGGACCTTATGAACTAAACCATTGTACTGAGTGCCACATCCAGTCATTCCTTGAACACCTCTAGAGATGGGGACTCCACCACATCCCTGGGCAGCCCCTTCCAAGGCCTGGCCACCCTTTCCAGGAAGAAATTCTCAATTTCTGCCTAAGAACAAGCAAATCCCTTTCTCTCCCATTCACTCCATTGCGTCCCTTCTCTACACAATTATTATTTTCTGGAAGATCCAGGCCTGCAGCCCTGCCCTCCAAATCCTGCTGCTAAAGGACTGGGAACGTTCCTGCAGTGACAAACTTAAGTCAAAGCACTTTTTGTTCAGAGACTAAAATTTGCACCATCCTCCTGGTGGCCCCTGATAGATTCCTGCACCCATCTGTGCAGGTATTTAAGGAATGGTATTTGGAGCTGTCAGGATGCTCCTCTCCTGGCAGAGGGAACCACAGCCCTGCCCTTGCAGCGGGCTCTGTGTGGGCAGAGCTGCATCCTGGCACAGATCCCTCCTTCAGTCTCCACACAGGTTTTTTTTTGCAGAGATGGAAGAATTTTCCCATGCAATGCTCTTGGGACAACCTTGGGGACTGCAGGTCACCTGGTGAACGTGTAAAGCTGCTTCATCTGCTCCCTTGGATGTGTCTCCTGCTGAAAATACCTGTGGTGGAGCCAGTGGAGGGTGTCTTTGATTAAAACAGACCCCAGAGACATCTTTTATATTTGTGGCTCACTTTGGTTGCCTGAAAGCTTCTGTAAATGGTTTCCCAAGACTAAACTAGAGTCACTTAGGGTGATTTAGACATTTTTTTGCTGTGAGAAACTGGGTGCGTGAGAGAGAAGATGGGAGGATTTTTGTCTTTTAAACAAGACCCAGAGGGATAATGTGCTCAAGTGATCCCTCAGGCTGGGAGCCCTATTTCTCCTTTCATTCCCAAGCAAAGATCATGAAATCTCTGGGATGTTTGTAGATTCCAGAGGCAAAGAATTGAGTCTTTACAGTAGAAGATGCGAAAAATACTTTTGGGCTGTGAGGAGGGAGAAAGGAGTTCCTAAATCCTGCCTTATGCTCCTCTTTTGATTTTCTTTCTCACACAGGAAAGGTCAGTTTTATCAGCAAAGAAGTAGCAAATGCCTGTAATATGTGTGAAATGTTTTTTTTTTTTTTTTTTCAGGGAGCAGTAAAAGTGGAGCTGTTCCCAAGGGGAAAGTGGTCTGGGAGCTGAGGAGATTTGACAACTAGAAAGGCTCATCCCCACACACCCACACGAGGGAGCAGTAGGAAAGACAGGGAAAGAGATTTTATTACTTTATTTTTATTGTTTCTTTTTATTTTTATGGGTGTTGGACTGTTCAGGTGTCTCTTTTTACTTGCCTGTGTCTGAAGAGCAGGACAAATATTTTCAGCAGGAATATGCCCCAATCTGAAAAGTGTTTAGTAACAGTAATAATATATTATTTATTTTCTTCTGCTGTGGAGTAACCTGAGCTCATGCACTGATTTTTGACCACTGATGATGAAAAAAATATATTTATTTGTTTGGCAGAAGAATAACCTTCTTCATTTTAATCTTCTTTATTAAACTTTAACTATTTTATTAAAATAAATGAAATATTTAAACAGCTCAGTTTTATTTAAAATTCAGCTATTTTCTGAATACTTTTGCTGCTGGTGAGATGAGTCAGGCTTTTTAATGCCTGTTCTTTCCATGTAACCTGCAGAAATGCCTTTTGCCATTCACTGCCCTTGTGCCCAAGGTGCAGGCTGGCTATTCCTTTAATTTATGGAAAAATGGTGAGCAAAAGGAATGCTTCCTGGTCTTTCCTAACTCCCTGTCTTGTGGGATGGAGGATCTGTGAGCTGGGACAGCATAATCAGCCCGATGTCATCTTGGCCTCTTCTTGCTCTCAGATAATAAAATAATGATAAATAATAATAATAATAATAATAATAATAATAATAATATAATAATCCTGCAGTTGCTTGTAGGTCTCACTTCCAGCTCTGTGCCTGGTGCCAGCTTTGTCCCAGCTGGCAGGACCAGTCCAGCTGTGCAATCCCAGGGATCTTTGTCTCCATTTGCATTTGGGTGTGTTGAGCTGTTCACCTCCACGGGGTGTTGACATCCAAGAGCTTTTGTGGCTCCTGCAGCTTCTGCTCTTCCCTCAGGCTGAGGCTGTGGGAGAGGTTTAGGTTTCCCTTCAGGAGCCAGAATGTTGGGTTGTTTCCCTGGACTGTGGCTGCTTGTTAGTGGCACTAAGATATGTCCCACCCGAGCAGTTTGGGGCTTTGTATCAGCATAAAAAAAGTTACCCCTGAGGGCCAAGTTCTGCTTGACCTCTTGGCTGTGGCTTTTACTTTAGTTCAGGAGTGTTCCCAGTTACTTGGATACAGCCACTAACTGGGAAGATGGTGCTATTCTCTCTTAATCACTTCTGCAGACTCTACCACTACATCTTTGGGGTTAAATTCAAGTGCAAGATGTCCCTGCCCACAGCAGGGGGCTGGAAGTAGGTGATTTTTATGGTCCCTTCCAACCCAAACCGTTCTGTGATTCTATGAAATTCAGCTGCTCTGCTGAGGAATAAGGTCCTCAGGAATGCTCTAAGAAACCATCCCATTCTGGATCCTGTTTCCACTGATTATATGTTGCTAAGCCTCTGATGGCCTATCCATAAGCATTTTGCTTAAATCTCTGCTGGGGAGCAAATGAGTTCAGGTTGAAATGTTATGGATTCAGGGAGCCTGTTCCTCTCCTTGCAAAGCAGCTTCCCAGCTGAATTTGGTTGAGAACTGGCTGGTTCAGAACTGATTTTGGTTGCTGCACGGAATTTTTCTCCACGTCTGATTTTCTCTGTGCTCACGTCAATTAGAAATTGATTCTGTTATTCGTAGAATCATAGAATTGTTTAGGTTGGAAAAGATCTCCAAGATCATCCAGTCCAACCATCAACCCAAGACTGCCAGGTCCACCCCTAAACCATGTCCCTTAGCACCACATCTACACTTTTTTTCTGAACACCTCCAGGGACAGTGATTCCACCACTTCCTTGGGCAGCCTGTTCCAGTGTGTAGTTTCAAGCACTGTGTCATGGTTTGAACACCCTTCTTGTGAAAAAATTTTTCCTAAAGTCCAAGCTGAACCTCCCCTGCTGCAACTTGAGGCCGTTTCCTCTTGTCCTGTCACTTGTTACCTGGGAGAAAAGACCAATCCCCACCTTGTCACAACCCCCTGAGCCTCTTTTTCTCCAGAGTAAACCCCCCCAGCTCCCTGGGTTGCTTTAAATAAGAATATGTTAAATTAACAATAATTAGACCTGCTGGAAAAGGTGATTTAAGAAAAGTAAATGATTGCATGTAAGGCAAATTCATTTATTTAAACAAAACCACTGAGCTAGTGACTTTATGAAATTAGCTTTTGCAGCTTAGGCCTCAGATCATGAATTTTAACACAATCAAAACAGTATTAGTGGCCTTTTGCTAAATTTTATGTATTTTCCTATGAAATACCATCACAAAGTGAACAGAAATATAACTAGAACTGTAAACACAATACTGCAGTGTACATAGGCTTGTTTTTTAAATTTTGTATGGGCTAATAAAAGAATTTAGGCTATTTGGGGGCAGTTTGTCTGTGAAAGCAGAGCCCTCCCCTAACATTTTTATGCTTTCTGGGTCAGAAGATCATTACATCATTTTTTTATGAATAGCTATGAAAAGGTCAGCTAAAAGTTACTCCATTGCTTCTCATTTAAATGGAGAGGAGTGAAGAATAACAGAGCTGACACAGAGTTGGTTAAAATTGTGTATCTCAACACACTCTATTTCTTCCAAGATCATTTTTTGAATACAGAAAAATTAATGTTTGACTGGTTTTTTTTCCCCACAACTTTCATCAGTTTAGAGTAGCATTGTCCAAAATGTGCAGGAAAGATTTGGTCTCTCAGCTCCTCTGGTTCAGCCTTACCCAGGAGGTACAACCCTGCCAGGCACTTCTGGGAACACAGGGGAGATTTTTGTAATGAAACTTTTGCCTTCTGTCAGAGCTGAACAGAACACAAGGGCTGCACTGGACCTGCCAGGAATGCTGCTCCTCTTGGATTTGTGCAGGTCACTGTGTGATGTTGACGTAAAACATGTGAGAATGTTTTCATTATTGGTATAGAAGATGGGAATGTTGAGATATTCCGTGAATGATATTTTAGTAAAGTATTTTGTTACCACAGTTTTGTGTGTTCACTTATCTTTCTGGTTGTGACTGTATTAATATTTCGGGATGTGGTCAAGTTAATTAAGGGCTTGCTCTTTTTCCAATCAAAATTAATAGAATCTTGGAATCATTTAAGTTGGAAAAGACCTTTAAGATCATTGAGTCCAACCACTAGGCCATCACTGAACCATGTCCCCAAGTGCCACATCTACATGGCTTTTAAATCCCTCCAGGGATGGTGGCTCCACCCTTTCCCTGGCAAGCCTGTCCCAATGCTTGACAACCCTTCCCATGAAGAAATTCTTCCTAAGATCCAGCGTAAACCTTCCCTGGCTCAAACTGATGACATTTCATCCCATCACTTGTTGTCTGAGAGAAGAGACCGACACCCCCCAGCTCCCCACTCCTGTCAGGGAGTTGCAGAGCCAGAATCACAGAATCATAGAATCAGCTGGGTTGGAAGGGACCTCTGAGATCATCAAGTCCAACCATTGATCCACTACCACTGTGGTTCCCAGCCCATGGCACTGATGCCACATCCAGTCTCATCTTAAAAACCTCCAGGGACAGAGAATCCACCATTCCCCTGGGCAGCCCATTCCAATGCCTGATTACCCTTCCTGTAAGGAATTTCTTCCTAATATCCAACCTAAACCTCCCCTGGCAGAGCTTAAGACCCTGCCCTCTTGTCTTACTGATCTCTGCCTGGGAAAAGAGACCAACTCCCCCCGGCTCCCCCCTCCTGTCAGGGAGTTGCAGAGAGTGAGGAGGTCTCCCCTGAGCCTCCTCTTCTCCAGGCTGAGCCCCCCCAGCTCCCTCAGCCTCTCCTCACAGCACTTGTGCTCCAGTCCCTTCCCCAGCCTCGTTGCTCTCCTCTGGCCCTGCTCCAGCCCCTCCATGTCCTTCCTGAGCTGAGGGCCCAGAACTGGACACAGCACTCCAGGGGTGGCCTCACCAGTCCAGGGGAAGAATCACTTCCCTGCTCCTGCTGCCACACTGTTCCTGAGCCAGGCCAGGATCCATTGGCCCTCTTGGCCACCTGGGCACACTCTGGCTCCTGTTCAGCTTCCTGTCCATCCCCACTCCCAGCTCCCTTCCTGCCTGGTTGAGGGTCCCCCCCGAGCCTCCTTTTCTCCAGGCTGAGCCCCCCCAGCTCCCTCAGCCCCTCCTGCTGCTCCAGCCCCTTCCCAGCTCCGCTCCCTTCCCTGCACACGCTCCAGCCCCTCCAGGTCTCTCTTCCATGAGGTTCCAGACCTGGACACAGCCCTGGAGGTCCCTCAGCAGTGCCAGCACAGGGGACAGTCCCTGCCCTGGGGCTGTGCCCACACTATTCCTGATCCAAACCAGGTGCCATTGGCCTCTTTTCCCCCTGGGCACACCCAGGCTCGTGTTCATTCCCTGTCTCCAGCACCCCCAGGGCCTTTCCCACCAGGCACTTTCCCCTGGAGCTGCAGGGGGTTGTTGTGACCCAAGGGCAGGACCTGGCACCTGGCCTGGTTGGATCTGAGTCTGAAACTGCTGAATTTTCTCCCCTTCTCAAAAAATGCCTCAGGGAATATCTATGGAATTGGACAAAGAAAATAAATTAAATTTAACCACAGCTGATACCTTTTGGAAGAACAAGGTCCAGCCTGAGATGACTTTGCTGTGTCACCACCGCCAGCACTGCTTGACTGAGGCTGCCTGACATGTTCCTTGGGAGCTGGAAGCACAGTGCTGTTCCCTTATCACTTAAAAAGAGGAATGGGAAATAACTGAAGGCCATCAGATTGTCTGTTGAACACAGGCAGTTATGAACTAAAACCCACAAATGGAAGAGTTCTCCCTTACTGCCTTTATCTTTTATTTTATCTCGGTTTTTTCCTTACCTTTGTAATGTATTGTGCTTCTTTGTTTCAAGCTGGAATTCACTGCACCAAACTTCATTGTTTTATTACACCAATGCATTTCTAGAAATATCTACAAATATCACAGTGGATAGAGGAAAGAATCTGAGTCACAGGACTTAGGAGATATATACAGCACATAGGGGATCCAGCCTGAAAAAACACACTTGAATTTGCACATGTTCTGGCAGAGCAAACGGAGATTTTCTTTCAAAGCCTGGTTTGATGCCGTTCTTCTAAAAAGTTCACTCAAGTGCATTTTCACTGAAAAATGTAATTGGACAATTTCAATGGATGAGAGACGACGTTTCACAAATTCAGAAATGTGTTATTTTTCTGGGGTGGAAAATATAAATCCAAGTGCCTCGTTAGAATGTCTCCAGCTGAACCATGCACACAACATTCCTTGCATTCAGCTACTGACCTGACCTGACCTCTTTTAATTTATGACTTTGGGTGCAGGGATAGAGTGTAATCAGCTTTCTATTCCTCAGAAATCACAGCTACAATTACACAATTACAGTTACAAACCGCTGCAGGCACAGAATGTCATAAATTAGTTATGTGGTGTGATTTACACCCCCACAGCTTGTAGATCTTCCAGGCTGCTCTCTTCCCTTCATGTTTAATTTAATTATTAGCGCCGAAACAGCAGCTGTAAGTAAATGTTTGACTCGAGTACATAAAGGGACCTGCAGGTTTTACACGTGTTTCTGCTGGTAAAGGTTCAACCAGGGGATTGAAAAGCAGAGGGAGCTGAGCCGGGAGCGGGAGGGAGACGTGGTGTGTGAGCGGTGCCACCTCCTGAGGTGAGGAGGTGGAGGAAGAGCAGCTCAGTGCTGAGGGTGAGGGTGTTTGATGCCCCTCTTTGCTCCCCTCAGCCCATTTTAGGCACATCAACCCCTCATGCTGAGGCCAAGCCCTGCAGGTGTAACTCTGGCAGGAGGTTTGACTCCAGTGGCCACTGGAACTGAGCCTTCTGGAGAAAGTGCTGCGTGGGAGAGGGAAGAAGAGAGGACTGCAAACTTTACCCTATAAACATGTAAATCTTTACTGTATTCTTGACATCTTTCAGTACTCACTAGTTCCCTAAGATTTTATAGGATCTTATTTTGTGTACAAGGGTTGCAAAGACCAAAGAGAATCCTGAAATCACAGAATGGTTTGGCTTGGAAGGGAGCTTTAAAGGTCATTTAATCCAATCCCCTCTGCCATGGGCAGGGACATTTTCAACTCCACCAGGTTGTTTAGAGCCCTGTCCACCTGGCCTTCAATGTTTCTAGGGATGGGGCATCCACCACCTCTCTGGGCAACCTGTTGCAGTTTTTCACCCCCCTCATTGCAAAAAACTTCTTTCTTTCTAAATCGACCCTCCCTCATTTTAAGGCCATTCCCCCTTGTCCTATCACTGCATCCTCTTGTAAAAAGTCCCTTTCCAGCTTTCCTGTAGGCCCATTTTAGACACTGGAAGGGATTCTAAGTTGACCCTGGAGATTTCTCCTCTCCGGAATGAACAGCTCCAGCTCTCTCAGCCTGAATATCAGTATAAAGTTTACTGCTCCTGTATAAGAGAAAGCCAAAATACAGCAGTGATCCATTACTTTTGCACATAAAGAGAAATGAATATCTGAAACCATCTCTGACAGAGACTTCACTTACTGTGAAAGGGCAGCTTTCAGTCACAGGCTTGATATCACAAATACAGCGCAGAGGAGACGTTGATTTAAAAAAAAACAAACACAATCCTGCCATTTCTACTTGGTGATCTTAACAATGCCCAAAGGGAGCAGTAAGATGTCAGTCACAAGGATGTATTTCATGAAAATGCAAAAAAGAAACAGCTCTTCCAGTAAAACACCTACTGTT